AATTAGAATCAAGAGTAAAGAGTTGGGGCTTCCCTGGTGGCGCAGTGGTTGAGAGTCCGCCTGCCGATGCAGGGGACACGGGTTTGTGCCCCGGTCCGGGAAGATCCCACATGCCGCGGAGCGGCTGGGCCCGTGAGCCATGGCTGCTGAGCCTGCACGTAAAAAAAAAAAAAAAAGAGTAAAGAGTTTTACTTACACTGTTTTTTTTTTCTCCTTATATATTTAGTGATATAATTGTTACCTGGTTTCTGCCTCATGATTTTTGTTTTCTATGTCCATATATTCCTTTCCCTGTCAGGGAGATATGTGTGGATTTGTGTTTACACCACTGTCTAGCACCTTTTTAAAGATTTTTAATGTTTTATGTGATATATTTCGTCTTTAGAATTTTGGGTGGATCTAGATTTAGAAAAGTGTTTTGGTTGGAGTGATGAGGCTCTGGATGTCAGCAGGCTTTAGGGTTGGAAAAGTTGAAGCTTACGGGGAGAGCAAATAAACACGGTCATCAAAGCTGGGAATTAAGATTTGTTTATTCACCTGCACACTTGAATTAAATCTCATAGAAATAGGCAGAGCCATTTGACTTATTAAGATCCTGACAAAATAAATTACTCTAGTCATGCTTAAAGGTCTATTTTTGCCTGGCTTTAGATACAGAGATTGGTGTAGTCACCATATAGTTTTTTTTTTTTTTTTTTTTTTGCGGTACGCGGGCCTCTCACTGCTGTGGCCTCTCCCGTTGTGGAGCACAGGCTCCGGACGCACAGGCTTAGCGGCCGTGGCTCACGGGCCCAGCTGCTCCGCGGCATGTGGGATCTTCCCGGACCGGGGCACGAACCCGTGTCTCCTGCATCGCCAGGCGGACTCTCAACCATTGCGCCACCAGGGAAGCCCCCAATCACCATATAGTTCTTGTTGAATTAAGCTGTTGATGCACAACCTAGAGGTGACTAGGATAGTTGACATTGGACGACGGTTAATTAAACCAGAAAGTCCATTTGAGGTTTGGGGCACAAAGCTTCAAATTGCCAAAATTACATGTGTTTTTGTCCTTCAGTATTGAGGAGCACGGTTGAAGAAGATTGGGGGAAGGGAAGAGAGAGCACTTAGGTTGGGTGTGGCTCACATCACTTTTGTTTTAAGAGAATTCCTCCTGTGTAGGGTTATAAAGATATCTAAGATATGGACTCAGGTAAGTATTCCCTATTTCATTTTCATTGTCAGTTAAGGTTCAAGTAAATAAAGCAATGCTTTATTGATTTTAAGAATACCTTTTAAAAAATGTAGAGTACAATTTGTTGACTCTGAAATCTTTGTGGTCAGGATGAAAGTTGGCTTCTGATACATAAAACAAAACATCTGATACATAAAACAAAACAAAAAGCCTTTAATTTATGATGATTCTCTTAGCTCTGTAATTCTCTTTTCTCCATACTTCTTACTACAGAGTGTGATTTATAGTGATAAAGAGCTCTTGGTTTAACTTTTGAACTGAACGTAAGTATAGCTTCAGTTTTGCTTTGTGATGACTGTGCTACAGAGAACCTTCTCCTTAAACCATTTTGCTATGTATGTAAATCTTCCAAATTCTCCTTTTACTTATGAAACTAAGTTTGGGATTTGGACAACCTTGATAGTACCTTTTCATATTTGTAGTTAAGCTGCAGAGCAGAAGGCAGCCAGTGAACTATTCTTAGACGTGCTGCAGAGGACCCTGCAGTGTGGGGCTGCCTGTGATGCAGCTCCAGTGAGCAGCTCCCGCCCTTGCCTTAGTCTCCTGGTTGCTCCTACATAAGGACTTTTTCTTTCACAAGAGAGTCATAAATTGCTTCCCCAAATATCATGCCACAGGGTCTTTGTGCTTAAGGTGGGTTATGTTCTTAGGCAGCCCTGAAAATTAAAATGAGTTGGGTTCTCCCCAGTCACCACTTCCTCTGCCAAAGCCATTTCATCCATCATACAGCTGCTGAGTCTTCCTAGTTCTGTCCTTTTCATCCCGTGTTCTGCACCCTAGCCACCCCACTCTCAGTTTTTACCCCTTCCTTACACAAAAGTTTGTCTGTATCCCAGTTTTTGAAACTTACATACTCACTCCTTACAACCTGCTCAGGACACTAATAACAAAGTGGGAGAACAAAACCTCTTCAGGAGGCAGCTGGGGAAATTGTAAATAGTCTAACCTTATTTCCAGTTGGCTATGTGAAAATGCTTTATAAGTCATAATTATTTCATGAGAGTAAGGGATAATAGAAATCCTATGACGAAAATAAAAGCAGAAAAGCTGAGCCAACAAGAGAACGTAGAGAGAGGTACGTGGGGAGTTGGGGCACTATAACTGTCTAAGTGAGAAGTAATAAGGGCCTGACTTATGAGAAGATTAGTGGAAATTACAAGAGTGAGGGTTGGAATTAAGTCTTTAGAAGGAGACATTATCATTAATCTAGAAGAGGGAGAAAACTTTCAATAATGACCCAACTACAGGAGTTGGGAGGACAAGAGACTGAGCATGAGGTCTTGAATTGAGGATCTGAAAACCAGTTGTGGTCTTCATAAAAGTAGTGTTGGGGATAATTACATGGGTGGGGATGGTAGGCTGAGGCTGCAGATAAAACTGACACTTCCAAGAAATATGAGTGATATTGGTCTGATTCATTGATATGAGAAGATACAACTTGATTGAAATTGAGCAAGTTATCATACTTCATGTAAAGTCTGATCACAGTTATGATAAATACCAATTACATATTATAAATACTGTATATGCGTACATATATAAAGGGGTATCTGGAAAGTTTGCCAAAATTTTATTAGGAATTCTATCTGAGGAGGTGATTTTTGATCTGAATTGATTCTTTTTTGCTCCACAATTGCAGGTTTAAGAAAATAAGGTGGTAAATAAGAAATTAGTTGGGAAGCATAGGTAGCTTTGCAAGCAAGAGAAAGTCTCTAACATAGATTCACTGTGTAAATAAAAGCAGTTTTGAACAGTTGATAGAACAAAGTCCTGGAATAAGTGGGAAGAAGTAGATCTTAATGCCCAATTCAAAGGGTCATCTTGGCCATGATTTCTGGTCCTGAGTGTCTTGGGTCTTCTTTGGCCCCTTCTCTGAAAGGTTAGACTAAGCCCTTGTTTGGGGATCTCTCTGGAAGAGAGGCTGCAAGAACAAGTCAGGGAGCCCAGGAGAAGTGGGGAGAGCATGTTGTAGAACTGAAACCTATGTAGATCTGCTGCAAGTAGTTGTGAATATATTGGATGTTAAATCATTATAAATAAGGACTGGTGTGGTATACAATGTACTTTGTTGTATAGCTGCTAGTCTGAATACTGTCGGCTTGGTATTAATTTTATATGCAATAAAGATTATATGTAGGGTAAATAGGATGTAGTCTCAAAGCAGAAAGTTTCAATAATTGATGAATTTTCGGTTTCTTGTCTTATTACTTTTGTGGGTTAACTCAATAAAATGAAGTCAGTGTGGCGTTAAGCTTATGACCTTACATGAACTTTTCATACTTTAGAAATTATACTAGGATTTCAGATTGTATCATTTCTGAATTTTATACCAGGGCTAGAAACAGAATTTGTTTTCTTTTAAATTACCATTTTTGTCACTAGTTGTAGTGAACTTCATAAGGTTCATATATTTCAGATACTGTTTTTTCTTACATGCTTCCTACCTTTTTAATATTTATATCTTGTTTTGTGCCACAGTTCTTTAAGCCTGTTTTCTAGTTAAGTCCCTCTCCCAGTCTACCATTCAGCTTGCCTTAGAATTCTTTTCAGTTTTAGAATTTTAATTTTTCTAATTTGCCCATTTTATGATACTGCTTCTTCCCATGTGATTTCTAGTCATTTCATCTCTTCAAATACTCTAAGGATACTCATTTTAAAGTCATTTTCAGATGGTTCTGTTATTTCTGATTCTATTTAGGTGTGAAATCTCTTACTCAGACTGACTCTTTCTCATTGAGGTTTGCTTGCACATGTGATTTGTTCATTTTGATGTTAAGGTGGTTTTCCCTGAAAGTCCCAGGTTTTAGTCCCAGTCTCAGGACTGTAGAAAATTTCTGTAGGGTTGTTTCATACTTTTTTCTTTGTGGATTTTGCTGGATCTGGGCAAGGTTTTTTTTTTTTTTTTTTTGTGGTACGTGGGCCTCTCACTGTTGTGGACTCTCCCGTTGCGGAGCACAGGCTCCAGACACGCAGGCTCAGTGGCCATGGCTCACAGGTCTAGCCACTCCGCGGCATGTGGGATCTTCCTGGACTGGGGCATGAACCCATGTCCCCTGCATCGGCAGGCGGACTCTCAACCACTGCGCCACCAGGGAAGCCCCTGGGCAAGGTTTTTATGTTAACCTCTTGACTTAGGGACCCCATACTACACTGATGATTTAAACTTGGATACCACACTTGGATGTCTCATAGATTTGGGGTAGCTTTCTCTTATGGGTTATATTTTTCTCTCCTGTGTTTACGTCCTCTATGCCCCAATCCAGGGTTGGAAACCTCTTCTCTGGCCAGCTGGAGTGGGGGCTTCTAGTGCTTGTTCTATGGGCACACAAACTTTTATGACTCCAGTCTCCATAGAGACAAGCATCAGCTCTTTACATGCATATTTCTTTTCTTTTTTATATTGAAGTATAGTTGATTTATGATAGTGTGTTAGTTTCAAGTTTATAGCAACGTGATTCTACATGCATATTTCTTGGTCTGGACTCAGGACCCTGCCCTGAGGTCTGCCTCTGTCTGCTCTAGCAACTCCATGAGCCATTCAGTTTGAGCTTCCAGCCTCAACTCTGTCTCTGGGTTTCCTCTTTGTTTCTAAGTTTGGTTGTGTATTAACCATTGTTTTTTGGAGGGTGGCAGAGGTTATCTTGTTTAGCATTTCTATGTGATTAAAGTAAAAGGACAAGAGACACTTGTCTTTTCAGCATGTTGCATTGACCAGAAGTCTGATCATATTCATATTTAAATGTATTTTGTCTTTTTTCTTTTACAGCTAGTTATGTATCAAATCCCATTTGCAAGGGATGCTTGTCTTGTTCAAAGGACAATGGGTGCAGCCGATGTCAACAGAAGTTATTCTTCTTTCTTCGAAGAGAAGGCATGCGCCAGTATGGAGAGTGCCTGCATTCCTGCCCATCCGGGTACTATGGACACCGAGCCCCAGATATGAACAGATGTGCAAGTGAGCAGTCAACTTTTGTCCACCCTGTTTTATTGTTTATGCAACTTAGGGGGAGTTACGTTGAAAATTTTGATTAAGAAAGTGTACAATTTTAATCAGATGTGCATGAGCAGTCAACTTTTGTCCACCCTGTTTTATTGTTTATGCAACTTAGGGGGAGTTACGTTGAAAATTTTGATTAAGAAAGTGTACAATTTTAATATGCTACAGAAATAGTTTAAGCTTAAACTTAAAAAAAATAAGTGAGGTGGTATAAGAACATTTTTACTTTATCTCTTGTATAGAAGTATATTGTATACACACACTTTTTTTTTTTAAGATTATCTAAGTATATTTTCATAGCATGTATCTCAAACACAAGCATGGTAGGCAGATCTTTGTAAGGCATACTCAGCACTTATCAAAAAATAAAGGGATTTAAATACCTTTATATTGGGAACATCCTCTTGAGCTTACCACAGTGTCTATAGCTTCTTTTTCCCTTATACTTGAGTTTGTAATACTTGAATTAGTCTAATCTGTAATTTAATACATGAATTTAAAGCACCACTGCTGATAAAAGGTATAACTAAAATATTCAGTTTACTTCAAAGTATTCTAAGTTTAGCAACCACAAAAAGGTTATTAGGGAATGGCATTCTATACATAGGAATGCAAGTACAATTTTTTACCTGTTAGTCCAAAAAGTCACTTCTCATTATAGAATTATTCTTAACTGCTGAGTAAATGGTAAAAGTTGGAGTTTAAAAAATGAGTAAGATACCAAAGGAATATCCCCCTTTTTAAGGAGCTCAAATTTTAGGGGATAGAAGGAGAAAAAAGGGGAACATGGAGTGAAATGACAGATCATAATTCAATACACTAAGTACTAGATCAGCAGGCAACTGGTATGTTATGGGAGTGATTTAATTATCCCCAATTAACACACTGTGTGCATGACTATTAAATCAGCTGAGGTCTTTAGGCAAGAAGAGAGTTTGAATTTTATCATCCAAGGACAATGTTATTTTGAAAGAAGGCAGAACTACTAGAGGAAGGTTATATAGAATCTGGGAAGAAGAAGCGACACGTTTGTAAAAATAATGTGTTTGGGAAACAAGAAGTCTCCTTTGGGGATGCTATTGGCATCTTGGCAAGGCAACTTGGCCTGCATTGCTGGACATTTAACATTCTTAGTCCCTGATCGGTAAATCTTCTTCATTCCCCCAAATCACTGTGACAGTAAAAAAATGTCCCGAAAAATTTCCAGACACCTCCCAGGGGAGCGGTACCATCCCTGGAGAACCATTGAGTAGTAGCTGCTTAGTGTGAGGTGTGGTTGGAATCGAAGATGAAAAGGGAGGCTTGAGTGCAAATGATAAAAGTCTTGAGTGCAATGTTAAGAAGTCTAGATGTTATCTGAGGGTTCTGAGCAGACAGTGAATTAAAGCGATTGCCTAATTTAAGATAATTCTTGCAGAAGTGCAGGAGATGAATTGGAGAAGCCTATTGTAACAATTGCAGATGAGAAATTGTGTTCTGATGAAAGGTTTTTGGGTAATGAATTCCAGAGACTTTTAAAATAGAGTCAGCGAGACTTAGTAAGTAACTAATTTCACAGAATAAAGAGAGAATCAAATTTGATACTAAGGTTTCTAGCTAAGGTGACTAGGTGAATAGTTTTGCCATTATCAAGATAGAAACGTATGGATTTAGAGGAGATTTGTATGGACTTCCATTTTATGGAACTGTTTGGATTAATAACCAGAGGGGTACAGCTCCCCCAGAGTATCAATAGATTAGCCATTTTTTCAAATATGTACCTTATCCTTAAGGTGTATGATTTGGGGTAGCTAATAATGTGTATCCTCATAGTTTTTGAACCTTCATAGGGGGATGTGTCCATCTTGAAATGGATTCCCGTTCAGATTGCTTTAGACCACCTATGGGGGGGGGTGGATTTGAGTCCATGAATATTCTGTGTGTTTTTTATTCCAGATTATCAGTGCACAAGGAAGATAAGAGTGTAGATAGCTCCAGACATTTATTCCAAGTTCTATGCCTAGCACTCTACATACTGTGTATGGACAATAGGGTGACCATATAATTTATTACTCTACCTGGGACATTGGGGATTGAAAGTGGCTGCTGTTAATAACTATGCAGGGACATTGGGTGTAAAGAAGGGCTGTCCTGGGCAAACTGGAATGGGTGGTCATTCAGCAATACCTCATAATCTTATCAACAGGGTCTTCCTTAGAGAGATACCCCAAGGCAGGGCTTAACACAAACATTTTGGTTAAGTTGATCCCTTTTCTCAGAAATGGAGAGGAGAGCAATGACTGTAAATCAGTCTTGGAAAGAGAATCTACACGTGAAAATGGGTTTGCTATGGTTATACTTATTGTAAGTGAATGCAATCGATGTTGCAGTTTACTGACCTAGAAATCATTACTTATCTGGTACAAGCGGGAAGTGCTTATTAACAAGGCTCCTGTGAAGCAAAGTGAAAGTGGAAAATAATTTCTTAATTCTCAGTATATGACTTCAGATGATTATGGTTCATTCTTAGTAATATTGGCTCTTTTTCATAGATGCTTGAAAACACATTGCATTGTTATTTGTATTCCATACAGAGGATGAGACAGATTTAAATTGGAAAAGCTGTCACAAACTTAGAATTTGAAATCATATTGACTTTTTGTTTTAGAAGATGAATGCTAGACAGTAGAGAAGATTATACTTCAAGCAACAGTAGCTTTAAAAAATCCTCTAAGTAAAACTTGCTCATCTATTTCCTAATCACTAACGTAAGATTTCATTGTAAAGAAAAACCTTTCTTCCAAAGGAAGACTTGCTCTATAAAATATTGGCTGAGGTTGGCTTCTGGGTCCATACAGTGTGGATCTTATAAAATTCAAACATGCTTATTAAAAACCAATTCAATAATCATTTGCAGCATAGTGTGGAAAAAAACATACTACAACACTGAGTTGCCATTGTCTCTGATACTGTTAGGTGAGATTTCTCTCATATTTTCTTTCTCATTCATTGATAAACTCATTTACATGAAAAAGCTTAATTTTAAAAATTGTTATACATATTCCTTGCAGAAAGCTTGGAAAGTACATAGAACTTTAAAAAAATAAAAAGCAAAAACAAAAATAAATACTACTCAGAGATAACAAAAGTCAACATTTTGGCTTCTATTTTTTTTTATAATCACACCTGTATATATATATACAATAATATTTATCGCTCAGATTAACATTTAAATTTAGCTAGGAATTATAGTTTTCTCTAGATAATTTTAAAATTTTTATTGGGGTAGAGTTGATTTACAGTGTTGTGTTACTTTCAGGTGTACAGCAAAGTGATTCAGTTATACATACCTATCTATTTTTTCAGATTCTTTTCCCTTATAGGTTATTACAAAATACTGAGCATAGTTCCCTGTGCTATACAGTAGGTCCTTATTGGTTATCTACTTTATATATTAGCGTGTATATGTTCATCCCGAACTCATAATTTATTCCTTCCCACCCTTTTCCCTTTGGTAACCATAAGTTTGTTTTCTAGGTCTGTGGGTCTATTTCTGTTTTGTACATAATTTCATTTGTATCTTTTTTTTTTTTTTTTTTTTTACATTCCACACATAAGTGATATCATATGATATTTGTCTGGCTTACTTCACTCAGTACGACCATCTCTAGGTCCATCCATGCAAATGGCATTATTTTGTTCTTTTTTATGGCTGAGTAATATTCTGGCTTCTATTCTTGACATTTTGTTTCTGTGCATATTTATGTCTTTCTTTCCTTACACATGAGTCATCATTCTGTTTTGTAACTTGTTTTAATTTAATGAATTATGAACATTTTTTCATGTCATTAATTATGACTGTATGTTTTCTACTGAATGGATATACCATAATAATCTAGCTAATTATCTGTTGAAAATTTGCTTTTAGTTTTCACCACTATAAGCAGTTATATGAAGAATTTCCTTGTATATAGATTCTTTTGCTTTTACACACATGTATAGTTTTACACGTTTTTTCTGATTTATTTTCATAAGATAACCTTTTAAACATAGCATATTTTTCCAACTTTACTGAGATATAATTGAGATACAAGCATAAAATGTATTTTAAAGACTTTTGATATATATTGCCAAATGGCCTTCTGGGAAAGTTGTACTCGTTCACGTCTTTACTAATAGCAGACATTTTCCCTTGCATCTCACCAACACTGGGTATTAGTGACAAAAAGGATAAAATGCATCTTTTTTTGTTTTAATATGCTTTTCTTTGATACAAATGAAGGTAAACATTTATTTTTCTCATGAATATTGGCATTGCAGAATATTTACCAGAATCCTTGGCCTTCTTTTTTCCTCTAATTGCACAACTATTTTCTTAGTAACATAAATAAAAACCTTCAAGTGAAGGATAACACAGAATATGTTCACAGATCATAAATGGAGCGTTCAATGAATTATCACAAATGGACACACGTATGTTACCACCACTCAAGAAGAAATGTTAACAGTACCCCAAGAACCCTCATTACGTCCTTCCCAATCACTCCCCTTTCTCCTTCTTCAACAAAACTGCTATCCTGACTTGTAACCAAAACCATATAAAAGATTATTCATGATGACACTAATCATACTAGCTACAAATTGGAAACAACTCAAATGTCCAAACAATAGAGTATTTTAAAAAGTATATATAGAAGTAGAGATGAACTACTGCAACATGAAGTGTCATAAATAAATCTCACAATATAACATTGGGTGAAAGAGGCTATAAAATAATATATACATTTACAAACTTTTCGAAAATAGGTAAAATTAATCTATGGTGCTAGATGGCAGGATTGTGGTTTTTACTGATGTGCATTTATTGAACACCTACTATGTGCTGACTTTGGTACTAGATACCTGGAGATACAATAATGAGTAATAACTAGTTTCTGCCCTTGAGTTGCTTATGGCATAGTGCAGTGACATTCTACCAG